TGCTTTGCTTATCCGAGGTCTCTTTCCTTTCCATATAAAGTTAGTGATCATTTTTTCCATATCCCTAAAGAATGTTGATGGGATCTGGATTGGGGTCTTTTGCAGCAAATTTGCCCATTTCATGTCCTTTAATTTCTTGACTGCTGTTTCCCCTCGTAGGTGTTGATTGTGGATCCAAAGAAAATGAAATCTTTGACAACTTCAGTCTTCTTGCATACACACATATACCTAAATAAGGTATATATGCAAATATATGATTTTGTTTTGTGTTTTTAAAAAATCATATATGGGTACATATACTTTTTATGTAGTAGTATATCTTAAAGATCCTTATGTGTTTGTATGTATGTTGTTGTTAGATGCTGACAAGCTGCCAAACTGGCTCTGACTCATAGAGACCCTGTACAATAGAATGAAACACTGTCCAGTCTTGCACCATCCTCAAAATCCTTCCTGTGTTTAAGCCCATCATTGTAGCCACTGTGTCAATCCATCTCCTTAAGGGTCTTCCTCTTTTTCACTGACCTTCTACTTTACCAAGCATGATATCCTTCTCCAGAAACTGGTCCCTTCTGACAACATGACCAAAGTAGATGAAATGAAATCTGGTCATTGTCACTTCCAAGGAGCACTCTGGCTGCACTTCTCCTTTTTTTTATTTTATCTTTTTAAAATTTTGATTGATTGATTGATTGATTGTGATTTGGGTGAAAACTTACAGAGCAAATTCACTTTCCATACAGCAGTTCACATGCACTTTGTCTCATGACATTGACTACGATTTACCACAATGCAACAGCTCCCCTCCCACTTCCTCCCGATAGTTACCTCTTCCCTGTGTCCATCCCTCCATGAACTCCTGCCCCCTAAGCTGTCTCCCTGTGTATAAGCAGCCCTTCTTTTTTCCGTGATTTTTTCTTCTAAGGAGTGTATCTACCTCAGGTGAATGGTCAACTCATATGCCTGTCTTTTGTTTGGTTTGAAGCCACTGGTGTGGGTATAATTCCAGACCTGAAGGGCAGCTAGGGACCATAGTCTCAGTGGTTCCACCAGGCTCTATTGGATGGCTGCACTTCTTCCAGGACAGATTTGCTTGTTCTTTGGCAGTCCATGGAATTTTCAGTGTTCTTTGCCAAGACCACAATTCAAAGACATTAATTCTTCTTTGATCTTCCTTATCCATTGTCCAGATTTCACACCCATATGAGGCTATTGAAAATAACCGTGGCTTGGGTTTGGCACACTTTAGTCTTCAAAGTGACATTTTTGCTCTTTGACACTGTGTAGAAATCCCTTGCAGCACATTTGCCCAGTGTAATACAACCTCTGATTTCTTAACTGATGCTTCCGTGGGTATTGATTATACATCCAAGTAAAATGAAATCTTTGGTAACTTCAGTCCTTTCTCATTTATTATGATGTTGCCTACAGGTCCAGTTTTGAAGATTTTTTTTTTTTTTTTTTATGTTGAGGTGTAATTCATACGGAAGACTATATCTTTTATCTTCATCAATAAGTGCTTCAAGTCATCTTCACTTTCAGAAAGCAAGTTTGGATCATCTTCATATCACAGGTTGTTAATGAATCTTCCTCCAGTCCTGATGCTGGCTTCTCAGATTATTTACTCAGCATACAGATTGAATAAGTATGATGAAAGAGTACAACCCCCTTATACACCCTTCCTGATTTTAATCAGTTCAGTGTCTCTTGTACAAACGACAGCCTCTTGGTGTATGCACAGGGTCTTCATGAGCACAATTAAGAGTTTTAGAATACCATTCTTCGCAGTGTTATCCAAAATGTATTATGTTCCACACAGTTGAAGGCCTTTGCATAGTCAGTATAACACAGATAAACATCTTTCTAATACTCTTTGCTTTCATCCAAGATCCATCTGACATCAGCAGTGATATCCCTCTTTCTACATCATCTTCTGAATTCAGCTTGAATTTTGGAAGTTCCTGTTAATATACTACTGCAACTGTTTTTTAAATTATCTTCAGCTAAATTTTACTTGTATGTTATATTAATGATACTGTTTGATAATTTCCAAATTCTTTTGGATCACCTTTCTTTGGAATGGGCACACATATTGATCACTTCCATTTGGTTGGCCAGGTAGCTGTCTTCCAAATTCCTGACATAAATGAATAAGTACCTCCAGCATTGCATCCATTTTGTTGACATGTCTCAATGAGTGTTCCTTCATTTTGTGAAGCCTGAGTTTTCTCCAGTTCCTTCAGTGCAGCTTGGATTTCTTCCTTCAGTGCCATTGGTTCTTGATCATATGCTGCCTCCTGAAATGGTAGAACATCGACCAATTCTTTTTGATACAGTGACACTGTATTCTGCCATCTTTTTCATGCTTCCTGCATCATTCAATATTTTCCTCATAGAATCCTTCAATATTGCAACTTGAGGCTTGAATTTTTTCTTCAGTTCTTTCAGCTTGGGAAATAAGCTGAGTGTGTTCTTTCTTTTTGGTTTTCTGACTCCAGGTCTTTGTGTATTTCATTATAATACTTTACTTTGTCTTCTTGAGCTGCCTTTTTAAATCTTCTGTTCAGCTCTGTTATTTCATTATTTCTTCTATTCACTTTAAGTAGTCCATGTTCAAGAGCAAGTTTCAGAGTCTCTTCTGACATCCATTTTGGTCTTTTCTCCTTTGTTGTCTTTTTAATGACCATTTGCATTCTTCTTGTATGATGTTCTTGATGTCATCCCACAATTTGTTTGATCTTTGGTCATTGGTGTTCTAGAGTGTCAAATTTATTCTTAGATGATTTCTAAATTCTGGTGTGATATACTCAAGGTTGTATTTTACCTCTTGTGGACTTGTTTTAATTGTCTTCAGCTTCAGCTTGAACTTGCATATGAGCAGTTGTCGGTCTGTTCCACAGTCAGCTCCTGTCCTTGTTTTGACTAGTGATATTGAGCTTCTCCATTGCTTCTTTTCACAGATGTACTTGACTTGATTCCTGTGTATTCTGTATAGTGAGGTCCACTTGTATAGTTTTCATTTATGTTGTTGCAAAAAGGTATTTGTAATCATTAAGTCAATGGTTTTGCAAAATTCCATCATGTGATCTCCAGCGTCATTTCTGCCACCAAAGCCATATTTTCCAACTTCTGATGCTTCTTCTTTGTTTACAACTTTCATGTTCCATACCTCAGTAGTTATCAATACATCTTGGTTGCATGTGTGGGAAATTTCAGACTGCCTAAGTTGGTAAAAATCTTCTATTTCTTCATCTTTACCTTTGGTCGTTGATGTGTAAATTTGAATAATAGTAGTATTGATTGGTCTTCCTTGTAGGTGTATGGATATTATCCTGTCACTGATAGCACTGTACTTTAAAATAGATCTCAAAATGATCTTTTTTGATGATGAATGTGACACCAGTCTTCTTCCATTTGTCATTCCTGAAATAGACCAAATGATTATCTGACTCAAAGTGGCCTGTACCAGTCCCTTTCAGCTCACTAATGTCTAGCTTATTGATCTTTATACATTCCATTTAATTTTTGACAACTTCCATTTCTCCTAGATTCATACTTCATACATTCTACCTTCCCATTATTAATGAATGCTTGCAACTGTTTATTCCCATTTTGAGTTCTGCCCCATCAGCAAAGGTAGGTCCCCAAAGCTTTATTCTATCCACATTATTAAGGTCAACTGTACTTTGAGGAGACAGCGCTTCTCCATTCGCATTTTGAGTGCCTTCTAACCTGCGGGGCTCATCTTCCAAGAGTATGTTAGTCATTGTTTCAGGGCTATTCATAAAGTTTTCCAGGAATACATCAGATGGTGTTTTACTGCTATTCATGAGGTTATCAGTGGCCAAATCATTGAAAAATGGATGGCTCCATTCTTTTTCTCGGTCTTTCTTAATTTGGATGCTCCACGGAAAGCTGTCCACTATGGGTGACCCTGCGGTTTTGAAATATCAGTGGCATAGCTTCCAGTGTCACAGCACAGCCACCCTAGTATGACACACTGACAGACTAGTGGTGGATTTGTATATATAGCTCTACTTTATTTTTAAAAATGTTACTATACACCAGAGATCTGCAAACTTTGGCCCGCAGGTTAAATATGGGCCACCTCCTGTTTCTGTAAAGTTTTATTGGAACATAAAACATAAAAACAAACTCACTGCCACCGAGTTGATTCCAACTGATAGTGACCCCTCCTTGGGTTTCTGAGGCATATCTCTGTGGAAGTAGATTGCCCAATCTTCCTTCCAAGGAGTGGCTGGTAGGTTTGAACTGCCACCCTTCTGGTTAGCAGTCAGATGACTTAGACACTATGCCACCAGAGCTCCCGTATTGGCACATGGACATACCCCTTTGTTTATAGATTGGCTATGTCTGTTTTTGTGTTGGAGTGGGAGAGCTGGCACATAAAGCCTAAAATACTTAACATCTAGAGTGCTACAGAAAAAGTTTGCTGATTCTTTATAATAAATGAGAAAGAACTGAAGACTGTTGCTTAAATGAGATATAGTGCTAGTGGGCTTACATGGCTCCAGGGAGGTGAGAAGAGTCAGCACTAGGATGATAATACTAGAAATGAAAAAGTGAGCAAGATAAGAGATGCCATGAAGGAAGGTGAGCTTTGTAATAGGCCATCTGTAATGGTGAATGAAGAGGTAGGAAGCATAAACAAAAGAAATAAAAGATAACAGTAAACTCTGAGTCTTTGTTTAAAAAAAAAAAAAAAACAGCTGGTGGAAATCTCAGACAAAGTCTATGGGGTGAACTCTTCTGAAGTAAAAATAAGGAGTTGAGTTTTAGAGTTTGGTGTGAATTTGGTATAACTGAAAGATACCCAAGTGAAGTTACTCTGCTGTCAAATAAAGAATGTGAAGCTGTCAAGAGAAGAGAGGTCCGAATTTTAGATGTAGACTTGCAAGTAGTTTGTCAGATGTGTTTGGAGAAGTACACCTGATGTTAGGAAGATATCTTGGGAGGAGGTCAATTGTATCCTCATGTATTTTAAGTTTTTCTTGTTTATGTTAGTTTTATTTGTCCCTCTCAGAGTTAAAGTAAAAACAGAATCTCATGACCCCACGTCTTCCTGGAGATCACTTATTCCAGTCATAAAGGTCAATGTGAGCACAGTAAGTAAATTCTGCCATAATTATTGTTTAGTGGGTTAATAATGTAGAACTTTTATTTGAGGAATTTATTTTTGCAAATGTAATTTTCACCTAGGAAAGGAAAGTAATTTTATGAAGTTTTTTTGGTTCCTATTTCCATAACGTGTGAAAGGATTATTTCAACACCAATACTATTTTAACACATATTTATTAGACCTTAAAGGCCGTTTATTCACAAGTGTTTACATTTTTTAAACACTGGTGTAAATTGACCAGTAAGATAACTTAAATAATGTATAGTGCTAAAGTGGAATCATTTAGTTGGTACTTGAATATATTTTTTCTTAGGTCAGCTAAGGGGAAAAAAAAATATGGCCAGTAAAGCATGTATAATATGTCTTTCATCTATTTTTTAGGGGCGTTTGGCCTTTGGGAATCATTACCAACCTCAAACTCTATGCATCAACTTTGATGATGCCTTCTTAACTTATACTACAAAACCACCTTCAAGTCACCTTGACCAATTTATGCATATTGTGAAAGGAAAGCTTGAAAATGTTCGAGTCATGCTTGTTCCTAGTCCAAGATATGTGGGTCTTCAAAATGATGAGTAAGAAAGTCTTATTAAAAAAATAAGAAGTAACTTTTTTATATCTAATACAGATTGTCAACTAGAATTTATAGCATCCTCTTCATTTCTTTTCTACAAATTGCATAGTAATTAGGTTCTCTGTAAGAGCAATAAGAGTGTAGTCCTACTTTATAGAATAAATAAATATTTTGTCAGCTAATAAACTCTAATTTTAAGTATTTTTCTGCATGATTATAGGTATAATTTTTCTACCCATTTCTCTTCCTACTCACTGTATTTGGGAAGCTTACTTTGGGCAATTCAACTCTGATGTATGTATGTTAGAAAATACACATTACAAGGTGGGTTTTTGTTTCCAGAAGGAATGAGTCATTGTAAATTCAAGAAATTCGTTGTCATGAAGTTTCATTTTGAGTGAGTGAAAAGTTTAAGATTGAATTAAAATTGCTTTTGGAAATTACTGAAATTAGGATGATACAGTTTTGAGACCCATGCCAAATATTTTTTATTTTACCTTTCTATATTTTCTTTTTTTTTTTACTAAAGTAGGTCCTTGTGCTTAGGAGGCACATTGTGTGAATGATGCACACTAAACTCACAGTCAGTGTAATGAGAAGTTTAAGCACAAGTGAACTGAGACCCTGAAGAAACAACAGATAATAACTCCCTTCTGACTCCAGGCTACACACTCATGGGGGGATCATGATACTGATACTATTCTCACTCTCTTTTCATTTTTTGTGAATGAGATTCTGTGGTTGAATTAATGTAACTTAAGTGCTCATCTGATGAGTGTCTGTTATAACGCAGAGCTCCCATCTATATGCATAAAAACCAAACTCACTGCCTTGGAGTTGATCCTGACTCATAGCAACCCCTCCTTGGGTTTCTGAGGTAGCATCTCTATAGAAGTAGATTGCCCAGACTTCCTTCTGAGGAGTGACTGGTGGGTTTGAAGCATGAGTATTCCTTTTTAGTCCCAACTCTTGCTGGCTTGGTATTACACTGTCCAGAGATTGGCTAGAGTGATAGAGATTTTTTTCCACTTGAGTCCTGTGGTGGCTGTGGGTTTACCTACACTCACTTTCCACGATCATGGACTTTGCTGTGTATCTTCTGGGCTATGGGCTATGCACATAATTCTATATTTATGGGTAAAAACTGTTCTGCTATTTAGAAGGCTGGTGGCTCAAACCCACGAGCCACTCCTCGGAAGGAAGATTGGGCAATCTACTTCGGTAGTGATACTGCCTCAGAAACCTAAGGAAGGGTCACTATGAGTCGAGGGTCGACTCGATGGCAGTGAGTTTGGTGTGTAAAATGACTGAAAATTTTATTTTGCACCCTTCAAAGAAAGTGTGGAGAATAACTCTTAGGAAGTTAAGCCTAACCTTTGTCATTTAATACATATTTAGAAGAAGTTTGGTGAATTTGTATATGAAATTATATATGGTATTATCTATTATTGAGAGTGAAGTTTATTTTGATGTAGAGGAAGATATTGTAGTGTATGACAAAGATAAAAGTTACTAAATCAAAGTAGATAAAGATTAGTAGTTATGTAGAAAGTTCATTGAAGGTGTTAATGATTAAAGTGACTTAATATTTTTTTTTTCTTATTTAATGTTTCCGAATTATTATACTTTATTTACAGGTAGATACAATAGTTTTTATTTAGAATGTTTTTAGTCTAATTTTAATTTTTGTTGCACATCCAGACTATGATTATTTTGTTCCAGTGTTTCTATTCCTCTATTGCACTTACTTAAACTTTGTTTTAAATTGATTTCTTTCATTCAAAACAAATTTAAAAATACTTTTTTTTTTCCTCGAACTAATTTACTGATAAAAAAGTTTTCAGTACCATTTTATTTATATCCAGTTATGTACAGTTTGGAAGAATTATTGTGATGTGAATGATGTTTTTTTCCCTTTCGAGTTACTACAGATGATACACTTTTTAGTACTTTATTTTTATTTTGATCTATGGCTGTAATTAACTAGGATAATGAACATTTTTGTATTCTGCAGATGTATTTAGTTCGCACCTTTCTCCTTCTCTCTATAGACCACCAAGATTAATGGGAGAAGGTTTTGTGGTGATGCAGTCAAATGATGTTGACATCTATTACTACATGGATGAGCCAGGTATTACTGGATTTTGAAAAGTTTTATAGCTATAATTCTGATTCTTTCAAATGCTGATGTTTAACTGTATCTTACCTAGGATATAAATAAGCATGAATCAATAGTAAATGTGGATATGAGAGTGCCTGCCTAAGAAATGCCTGTTATTTTTCAAAAGTTGAATATAACTTTTAGTATTTATAGACTGAAATAGAACAGTATAGTGATCCATCCTCCAAATTCTATTTTCACAGAAATACCTAAAAAATTGACCATGAGTGAAAACCCTTAGAGCATGTCATTATAGTTAAGGTAGTTCATTTCAGCTTAGGAAAAAAAATGAAACATAGTATGTTGGATTTGAGGCTTGAAGTTTAAAGAGTGAAATTCAGTTAGTTACCATGCTTCACAGATGTCTTCAATATTATTAAAATATCTAAACATTGAATTTTTAGTCTACCTTTTCTACTTCTGATCTTTTTATTCCATGCTCAGGAAAAACAAAATGCCACTTTATATTTCTGTGTATTAATTATAATGCAACAGCTGTATGGGTTATATATTTTTAAGTTCAAAGGCAGCAATTTTCAAACTCTAGTGTGTTAATTCCTAGGGGTTGCTGTGACCTCTCAGAGGGTTTGTGAGGTCAGATATTTTCATAATGAAACTAGGATGTTATTTCCCCTTTTCATCATGTTGACATTTGCCCTGATGTTGCAAAAACAGAAATAGCTATCTTGCTGATGCTTCAGCACAAATCAAGACAGTGGCTCCAAACTCTCCTAGCGTAGTTACTGGGTTTTGCACTGCTACACACTCACAGAATAACAAAGCAAAACAAAAAATGTGCTGATTTTACTTTAAAATGCCTTTAATTAAACAGGGTGTTACTAATTTTATCAAATCTTGACCCTTGGTAAAATCATGTTATTATCTGGTATAACAAAATGGGAAGTACATATAAAGGACTTATGTTGCATACCAAAGTATGCGAGTGTCCTGAGGAAAAGCACTTAAGTGTGATTGAAATGCAGTCTGAACTATTTGCTTATCCAAGTAATACCATTTTTACTTGAAAGAGCAGCTAACAGACAAACTATGATTTTGAGCTTTCAAGTAGAAATTGGAATTTTGGAAAACTTGTATCTGCTACTGTGAGTTTAGCAGATTCCCAATAATTAATTTTTTTTTTTAAATCATGGTGACATTAACAAAAGTAATCTTAAAAATATTTTATAGTTAAATTTCTCAGGATTTGGAAAACATTTGTATAACCCTGAATTGATACTTTCTGAATGACCAATGCATTTTATAAATCATGCATGGGTAAAAATGTATTCAAAATGAAAGAGAGACCAATAAATAGATTTTAATGTAACAGAGTATGAAAAGCTCAATGATAGGGTTTCAAGATCCACATTGCAACTAATATTTATGTAACTACCACCTGTTGAATTTCGACATAGTATCAAAGATACTAGATTTGTATACTAATACTAATACTATACTAATACTAATACTAGACATAATATCAAAGAAGAACATTCAAAATTATCTGGAAAAGCTATTAAAATAAGCCCCAGAACCAAACACACTGCTGTGAAGTACATTCAAACTCATAGCAACCTTTTAGGACAGAGTAGAATTACCCCATAGGATTTCCATGTGTATAAATATTTACAGAAGCTGACTACCACATCTTTCTTCTGTAGAGTGGCTGGTGGCTTCAAGCTGCTGACCTTTCAGTTAGCAGCCAAGTGCTTAAACCACCAGTCTTAATTTGTATGAGACCAGATTTTCTTCAAATGCTGCAACAATAGAATGAATGTAGAAGTAGATACAAGAATCTGCCATTTTCTATTACACTAGACATTAAGATTTGCCAAAATATAAAACAATACCAAGCTTTTCACCAAGTTTTTTTAAAATTTGTTTTAGGAAATATAATTGTTTTTCATTAAAATATGTTATGTTAACATGTAATGGGTTTATTATTATAATTTTTTAAAATAATTAATACATATTTTTAAATTCCTGAATTTTAATTTTGAATACATAAAAAAATTAATAGATGTAATTCACATGAACAAGAATTCTTTGGGATCCTTAGTAATTTTTAAGAGTGTAAAGAGTTATTGAGATCAAAAAGTGTGAGAGCCATTGATTTAAGGAAACTTTTTAATGGCAATTTTAATTAATTGCCTTTATATGGTATATTCTGCAATATAGGGATTGTTCCAGAAGAAACAGAAGAAAATATTGAAGAAGAAATGAGTAGTGAGGATTGCAAATTGCAAGACTTACCTCCATGTTGGGGACTGGATATAGTGTGTGGTAAAGGAACAGATTTCAACTATGGACCTTGGGCTGATAGGCAGAGGTACTTGAATAAATTAAAATTTTTAATAGATCATTCAAATGTATTGAGATACCAATATTATTTTTATTGAAAATGACTTTAATATTTTTATAAACTATTTCATTATGGAAAGGTATGATTATCACTAAACTTTTTTTATCTAAATAATAACTTGCTTGTAGAGATATTGGCAGAAGTAATTTTGAAAACTTACAAAAGTGATGACAAATGAGCAGTTTATTTATTGATTTCTTTGTTTTGTATTTAGTCAGCAATGGTTTATTTATTGACTTCTAGTATATGCCAGGGATTGTTGGAGAAATGGGAATTCAGAAATAAAAGATATACATAGTTTAGTTCTGAAACCAAAACCCACTGCCATTGAGTTGCTTTCAACACCTAGTGACCCTGTTATGACAGAGTAACTGCTCCATAGAGTTGACAAGGCTGTATTCTTTATGGAAACAGACTACCACATCTTTCTTCTCCCGAGCACCTAGTGGGTTCCAACCTCTGACCTTTCGGTTTGCAGCTGAGCATAAGCCAAAGAGTTTTGCTATACTAGAGCAGAGTCTCGATGAAGAACTTATATACTTAATATATATAAGTATATACTTATATACTTTATGCTGACTCTTGATGTACTGAATTGTTTTATTCTTCATAGTATAAAAAAAAGAAACACTACCTACCTAACTTTAGAAGACTTACTACTTTATCAAGTCCTATGTTCTATTAATCTTCACATATAAATATATAAGAAACTTGGCATATTAAGTACCCTATTTGACAACTGTGTAGTAATTGAGTAACTAGACTTATTATTTGAGTAATTTTTATGATACACTAATAACATACTTCACCAAGTTTTGAGTTAGGTTAGTTATTAAGCTTGAAAGTAAACAGAAAATAAATTTTCTGGTTAGCAAGCAAATAATTTTCACATTACTAGATTTTAATTTTCCTTCTACAATTATGTTTTCCCACCATAAGCCATGCTATATTTACTGTTTGGCAGTTGAAAATGAAGACTTCTTACATTTCATTAATTAGCAAAACTAAATCTATTTCAAGTATATTCTGAAATCTCAAGAAAAATTCATTGCTTTTTTTTTTGGCTGGCAAAACAGTTCTATAATGTTATATTTGAGAGGAAAAAACTTAATGCTTTATTATAGACATATGAAGTATTTTTATATTTCTAGCACTCTACTAAAGTGATCCTTCTTAAACTAAATTGAATTTTATGTTTTTAAAAAGTATTGTGATACTTATTAAAACCCAAACTAAAATTTTTATATAGTCGTGTTCACTTTGGACATGGTCTTTGTATTACATACAGAAATAACACTGAAGTTAATGTGAAAGAGAAACGTGTTTTAATTTATTTTCAGATGCATTTATTTTACTCATGTAGTTTTATTTGTCATTTCACTTAGATGTACAAATTGTGCATTTCCTCTTGCATACCATTTCCTTTTCCCCTTCCCCATATTGAATTTCTTCACAAATATGAACTGAAGTCAGAAATAAATAGAAACTCAGTTTTCTTATCATGCTTCTGTTAATAGAAGAAGTATCAGTTCTTGTGTTATTGGATAGCAATTGTTGGTCTTTAATGTGACATGGCAGACCTTTTAGCTTATTTATTTTGGTGTCACTTCTATCACTTTTACATGACTTTATGAATCCTGAGTATGTCATTCAGTATTTTCCTTCATGATATTTTCTTCTTTCTTTTTATTTCTTTTTAACAATTTTCTTGATATACTCTGGTAGCATAGTGGCTAAGGCACTTGACTGCTAACCAGAAGGCTGGCGGTTCAAACCCACCAGCCACTCCTCGGAAGGAAGGTTGGGCAATCCTACTTCCGTAGTGATACTGCCTCGGAAACCCAAGGAGGGGTCGCTATGAGTCAGGGCTGACTTGACGGCACATAACAACAACAACAACATTTGAAATTATAACATTACTAGAATTGAACTTATAACTTAGATGATAATGCAAACATTTCTGACTTTGGTGTTTTATAGCTTTCACTTATATTTTCATGCTTGATCTCATAACCAAATAAGATACACAGGACAGGTGTGGTTATCTCATTATAACTACAAGTAAATGGACATTCAGATGGTTTCTGTGATTTGGGGCACATAGTGAAGCTACAACATCTAGAGTGAAGATTCTAACCAGCTCTTCAAATCCACTGCTCTTTCCATTATATCCTGCAATCCAACTTGTAGTTCTTGAACATCTGATGGTCACACTAGGGCTTTTGTCTGTAATGTTCTTAATTTTACAGGTTTGTGAATCTCAGCCAAAACATTTGCAGGACTTTATTTTCCTTTCCCACCACTTGGCTGTCAGCTTGTTATATTGTGGTAGCTTGCATGTTGTTGTGATGCTGGAAGCTGTATGTGGTGCAGTGAATTACTTGATCTGGGTTTTCTAGCCATATAGTTTGTAACTACCACCAGATTACTGGGAGGGACCATGCCAGCAAGATGTGTAGAATTCTGATGTTGGGATGGGTTAGTTTCATCAGTCTGCTAGGCTTAAAATGAGCCCTCCTGCAGACAGAGAGGGGATCTCACTGCCATCAAGACAGAAGAGCTGGGGGTGAAGTGGAGCATGTGCTTTGGACCTGATAATCCCTGTGCTGTACCTCCTTGGTAGAGATGACCCGTTGGAGACCCAGCTGAGAATCCAAGAGACATGAGACGGAGCGGTGGGCTTTCCGGCCCACAGAGTGAGAAAGTTGAGAGCCTTTGAGCAGGAGGCTTGCTGGCAGAGTGGGGTGCATGTAGGTGTATCGGGAGAGCTAAAAGAGCTTTGTACCCCTTGCCTGAGCAGGGCAGAGGCCAGAGGACAGAGAGGCATCCTGAGGGCATAGCAGAGGAGAGACTGTTCGGATCAAAGAATTGTATCCTAAGTGCTTCCTTGAACCTGAATTTGTAACCTTTTACTTCCCTAATAAACCCCATAATTATAAATTTTATCTGTGAGTTTTGTGTGACCATTGCAATGAATTATTAGTAGCATAGTGCCTAAGCACTTGACTGCTAACCAGAAGGCTGGTGATTCAAGCCCACCAGCCACTCCTTGGAAGGAAGATGGGGCAATCTACTTCCGTAGTGATACCGCCTCGGAAACCCAAGGAGGGGTTGCTATGAGTCGGGTCCGACACGACGGCACATAACAACAACAACAACAACAAGTAGAGAAGTAGTAAGTGCTGAGGGAGGGATGGTTGGTGTCAGAATTAGTAAAATTGCTGGAGGGTGGTGGCATATCTGGCCTCATGGGATTAAGCCTTGGGCTGTTGATAGTGATTCTGTCTCCCTCTTATGAAGTTAGAGGAGGTCAGAAGATGCTGCCTTCATGTCCTTTTTGCATTATACCATCAATATTTCAAATACCAGCAGAGTCACTCATGGTGGATGTATTTTAGCAGAGCATTCAAAGTAAGACATACTAACAAGAAAGACCTGATCTTCTGGGGGAAAAAAAAAATTAGTGAAAATCTAATGTAATAGCAGTTTATTATTGTCTGATACAGTGCTTAATGATGAGCCCTAGTTGGAAGGCACTCACACTACAACTAGATAAGAGCTGCCTCCTCACAGTAGAGTTGACTTTAATGACATGGCTAGAGTAAAGCATTTGAGACTTACATTTGTTGATGTGGCATGACTCAAAATGAGAAGAAACTGCTGCAAACATCCATTAATAATTAGAACATGGAATGTATGATGTATGAATGTAGAAAAAAATGGAAGTAACCAAAAATGAAGTGAAATGCATAAAGATTAATACCTTAGGCATTTGAGTCAGACAGTCAGATGGTGTACTATGTTGGGAATGACATACTGAAGAGGAATGGTGTCACATTCATTGTCAAAAATGCTATTTCAAAATTTATCCTGAAACATAACTCTGTCAGTGATAGGATAATATCCCTGTGCCTACAAGGTCTACTATTCTAATTTATGCAACAGTTACTTATACCAAAGTTGAAGATATTGAAGATTTTTTCTAATATCTGCATACTGAAATTGAGCACATATGCAATCAAGATGCATTACTAATGATTAGTGATTAGAATGTGAAAATTGGTAACAAAGAAGAAGGATCGGTAGTTGGAAAGTAGGGCCTTGGTGATAGAAACAATACCTGAGATAGAATGATAGAATTTTGTAAGACCAACTACTTACTCATTGCAAATACCTTTTCTCAGCAACATAAATAACACCTTTACATGTGGACCTTACCAGATGGAATATACAGGAATCAGATCCACTTCATATGTGGAAAAAGATGCTAGAGAAGCTCAATATCATCAGTCAGAATGAGGACGGGCTGACCATGGAATGGACAATCAATTGCTCTTATGCAAATTCTAGTTGAAGCTGAAGAAAATTAAAACAAGTCCACAAGAGGCAAAGTACAACCTTGAGTATATCTCACCTGAATTAAGAGACTATCTCAAGAATAGATTTGGCACGTTGAACACTAATGACCAAAGACCAAACAAGTTGTTGGATGACATCAAGAACACCATACAGGAAGAAAACAGAATGTCGTTTAAAAGATAGGAAAGGAAGAAAAGACCAAAATGGATGAAACTTGCTCTTAAAGAAAAGCAATGATGATGTAGAAGAGTGGAACAGAAGATTTGAAAGGGTGGCTTGAGAAGAATAAGTATTATAATGAAATGTGCAAATACCTGGAGTTAGAAAATCAAAAGGGAAGAACATCCTGCACGTTTTTCAAGCTGAAAGAAGTAAAGAAAAAAAAAATTCAAGTCTTGAGTTGCAACTTTGAAGGTTTCTATGGGTAAAATATTGAATGACACAGGGAGCATCAAAAGAAAATGGAAGAACTACACAGTCATTGGACTGAAAAAAAATTGCTTGATGTTCAGCCATTTTAGGAAGTATCATATGACCAAGAACCAGTGGTACTGACAGAAGTTGTCCAAGCTACGCTGAAAGCACTGGTGAGAAACAAAGCTCCAGGAGTTGATGGAATACCATTTGAGATGTTTCAACAAACAGATACAACACTGGAAGCACTCATTCATCTATGTGAAGAAATTTGGAGGATGGCTACCTGGGCAACTGACTGGAAGAGATCCATATTTGCACCCGTTCCAAAGAAAGGTGATCCAACAGAATGTAGAAATTATTGAACAGTATCGTTAATATCACATGAAGTAAAATTCAAAAATGGTTGTAGCAGTATAGCAACAGGGAACTGCCAGAAATCCAAGCTGAATTCAGAAGAGGACATTCAATAAAGGATATCATTGTTGATGTTAGATGAATCTTGGCTGAAGGTAGAGAATATAAGAAAGATGTTTGCCTGTGTTTTATTAACTATGCAAAGGCATTCAACTAAGTGGATCATAACAAATTATGAGTAACATTTTGAAGAATGGGAATTCCAGAATACTTAATTGTGCTTATGTGGAAACTACATAAACCAAGAGGTAATTGTTCTAACAGAACAAAGGGATACTGCATGGTTTAAAATCAGGAAAGATGTGTGTCAGGGTTGTATCCTTTTACCATACTTATTCAGTCTTTATGCTTAGCAAATAATCTGAAGAAGAATGAGGCATAAAGTTGAAGGAAGGCTTATGAACAGCATGTGGTATGCAGATGACACAACCTCACTTGCTGAAAGTGATGATGACTTAAACACTTACTGATGAAGATGAAAGACTACAGCCTTCAGTATGGATTTCACCTCAACATAAAATGAAAATCCTCACTACTGGATCAATAAGCAACATCATGATAAATGGAGAGAAGATTGAAGTTGTCAAGGATTTCATTTTACTTGGATCCATGATCAATAGCCATGGAAGCATCAGTCAAGACATTAAAGGACATATTGCATTGGACCAGTCTGCTGTAAAAGACCTCTTTAACGTGTTAAAAGACAAAGATGTCACTTTGAGAACTAAGGTATGCCACACCCAAGCCATGGTCCACACTCACGCCATGGTCTTTTCAGTCACCTCATATGCATGCAAAATCTCATCAGTGAATACAGAAGACCAAAGAAGAATTGATGCCTTTGAATTATGGTGTTGGCAAAGAATTAAATACAGCATGGACTGGCAGAAGAACAAACAAATCTGTCTTGGAAGAAGTATAGCCAGAATACTCTTAAAGTGAGAATGACAGGACTTCATCTCATGTACTTTGTATATGTTATCAAGAATTCTGGTCTCTGGAGAAGAATATCATGCTTGGCTTAGTAGAGAGTCAGCAAGAAAGAGGAAGACCCTTGTCTTAGTTACCTAGTGCTGCTATAAGAGGATGGGAGCTCTGGTGGCGTAGTGCCTAAGGCTATAAGGAATACCACAAATGGATGATATTAAGAAGCTGAGATTCATTCTTTCACGGTTTAAAACCAAACTAAATTCATTACTGTCAGGTCGATTGTAACGCATAGTGACCCCTTGGGAGGGTGGTAGCTCTACAGAAGTAGACTGCCCAGTTTTCTTTCCGAGGAGTGGCTGTTGGGTTTGAACCACCAGTCTTCTGGTTAGCAGTCAGATGCCTTAGGCACTACACCACCAGAGAAATCTGAATTCAGGGCACTAACACTAGAGGAAAGCTTTCTCTCTCTGTTGGCTCTTAATTTAGGAGGAAGGTCCTTGTTCCTTTCAGCATCTGTGGGCGTGGCATTCTTTTGAGATCTGCATGTGTCTTGGCATTAATTTTCCTCTATGTGTAGGAGGTTCCCAGTGCAGGGACCCTGGGTCCAAAGGGCTCACTCTACTCCTAGCTCTACTTTCTTGTTAGTTGGTTCCTCTCATCTCTGCTAGTTTGTTTAATCTCTTTTACATCCTAAAATAGATTGACTCTCAAGATACAGCCTAATCCTGGAAATTGTATCTTGCTTCGTTAACATAACTATCCCTTATCCTGCCTCAATAACATCATAGAGGTTAGGATTTACAACATATAGAATAATTATATCAGATCCAAAAATGGAGGAAAATTAAATAATACTGGGAATCATGGCCTAGCCAAGTTGCCACAAAGCCTATAACAACCCTTAATGAAGTGGATTGACATAGTGGCTGCAACATTGGGCTCAAATATAGCAACAGTTGTAAGGATGGTGCTCAATGGGGCATTGTTATTTTTCCACTGTACATAGTTTCACTGTGGTCGTCACCAACTTGACATCACCTAACTTTAACATTTTCTTTTTATACATTTTAATGTAATGATGACAAATTTTAATGTGCACTGGTTCAATGTGTACATTTTATTCTCTTCATCTAATTTTTTCTAGTCTTACATATTTCCTGTCAGTATTTTCTGTCACAGATTACTCTTTCCTCAATCCTTGCTGTTTAAAAGCCAAACTGGTACCATCTCTCAGTGCATGAGTAACAGTGTATTGTGTTGGTTCACGTGGATGATTCTGAATTGAAAATTTCTTGGATTCTTTCATCTTTGTCAAATGAGAGGATAGGCAAATACATCAGAACCTTAGCCTCAAATACCTGCTTACTTTTCATAAATCTATTGCTCTTTTATCCTCTTTTGTTGAAAATAAAATTATCCTATTTGTTGAAAATATAGTTATTATTAAAGTAGGAAAAAAATAATCACTTTTTCCACGTGGCACTCACTGCCAATTCTTTTCCATTATGTTCTCATTTAATCCTCAAGACTACTTTATGAAGTAGTTTATGTTATTCCAGTTTTACATATGGGGAAATAGGTCAAGTTTTCTCAGAAAGATTAAGTAACTTCTACAGGGTGGAATGATGATTCTAATTAAACTATCCTCCTTCAGTTGTTCCTTTGACATCTGGACGTTTATAGAACATCTTTAATTTCTCACAGTACGCTTAAAATTTAATCCTTCTTGTATCTCACTTACTAATAGTTTACCTATTCAGTGCTTGGAACTCATTGATCTCTGAAAGTATAAAACATTGGAGAAAACAATCTTTGTTCTGCTGAAAGAAAAGAGATTTGTGACTTTTAAAATTTCTTTTGTATTGTCTAATGAGATAGCAATAATAATATAAAGTTAGAATACTGACTTGGGATACTTATCAGAGATGCTTTTGTGTGAATAGCATGTCTTTATTCCTTCTATCTCCTTCTATAGAGATTGTTTATGGAAGTTTTTCTTTCCACCTGATTATCAAGTTCTAAAAGTTTCCGAAATTGCACAGCCTGGGAGACCAAGGCAGATCCTTGCTTTTGAACTACGGATGAATATTATTGCAGATGCTACAATTGACTTGCTGTTTACTAAAAATAGGGTAATTATTTGAAACAATGTAGTAGAAAATAATTAGTATTTAAAACTTGAACATTGATTTTTCTAGAGTATTTTTTGTGAGCAGTTCTGTACATAAGATTCATTTTTATGCACTTTTATCATCTCCCAAATTAATTGTATGTACATTATTTTCATCATATTTTTATTTAATGCTACAGAATGGAAATTAATTAATTAAGGATAATAGTCCTTTAACCTATATTCTGGTTCGTTTTTTCCCTTATATCTGGCCAAATTGTTTTAGCACATTTTTACTATAAATTTGAACTTTGTTCTTAGGAACTTTTGATAAATATTTAATATCATTGATAATTATTTTTCTTATATGATAATAAAAGTATAGATGATGGTACTATAAACACAATATTTTATATGAATTAATATTTTTATTTTGGTAGGAAACAAATGCTGTACATGTAAATGTAGGAGCTGGCTCATATTTAGAAATTAATATTCCAATGACAGTCGAAGAAAATGGTAAGCCACAATTATTATTTTTGTTTTAAATGATTGGAAGAAAAATAGTTAACGTATTAATAATACAGTTAGTAATCCATTTGGGCTAACATTAATGGGCCTTCTTTCAATTTCTTATTATATTGTGATGTGCCTTTAGTTATTAAGAGTAAATATTACATATTTAAAATATTTGAACACCAAGGCACAATATTTCTAATTAAGTCTTATATACTAGGCTTTCATTATACCTTATACATTGCTTTTGTAGGACTGAGCATAATTTGTTTAATGCATGTTTTTCCTGTTAGGGTACTGCTCCATGGGAACAGATGCTGTGTCTTTCTTTTCACTGGTATATCCCCTGCCATATGTTACAAATGCTGTAATTGCTTATGTGATAATAGGCCTTATCTTAGATTATGCTGTTAATAGATTTTTGTTAGGGAGTAAATTGAGTATTTTGAACATCATAACTTTATTAAAGTAGAATATTTCATGTTTCAGATATGAAATAATGCCCTGATCACTATACCAAAAACCAAACTCACAGCCATTAAGTTGATTTTGACTCTTAGTGGCCCCCTTTAGTTTTCTAAGGTGGTAAATCTTTAT